CAAAATAAAATATCCGAGTTTTGTCCAGACGTAACACCATCCTGGGATTTCCTGTCTGACCTTTTCTATTATCACGGTCATCTTGGGCCTGGACGTGATCTCTGGGGATATTCACACCATCGTCAGTCACCATAGAGAACCAGCAGCAGGCTCTGGCAACCTTGGTGTCCTGTGGCCTGATAGGCAACACTCTTGCTTCACATACACAGTGTCCGTGGTTCGATCCCCGGAAAAAGGTGGACACATTGGGCGTGTTTCCTTACACTTGTGGCCCCGTTCACCTAGCAAGCAAATAGATACCTGGGTGTTAGTCGACTGGTGTGGATCGCATCCTGGGGGATAAGATTGAGAGCCCAGTGGAAATAAGACAGTTCTCGACGACACACTGTCTTTCCTGGGTTATCCTGGAGGAGCTAACTCTCCGGGGTTAAAAATCAGAACAAAATCTTATCTGATCTTCCCTCCGTACAATGGTTCTCTCAGCTGTTTACAAGCGTACCCCCACCACTGTTCCGATTAGTTGTCACTGTGTTTCCCAGTGTCTCCACACTAACACCAGTCAACACCACTCACACTGTTCTAGCTCATTCTCACCCGGTTACCAGGAGCTACCAGCCAACACAAGCACCAGGTTTTTCACATCCTTGGACACAGAAGGAATGACAGAGGAACCATTTCAGTGACTGTCTCTAAGCGACGAATTAGCTCGTTAGGTTTAAAGCCCAACTACACGAGGGTAGTTAAGGTTACACTTCACCTGTGACATAACATCAAGAATTATTAAACAGAATAAAATTTAGAGTAATTGAACTCTTTATGTACACAAGTATTCCTCTGTGTGTAACTCTACAGAGATATACAGTACTGTGTATATGGAGATATAAACAATTGTGTAAATGCAGAGATATACACATTTATATACGGTGGGTTATATGTATTCGCGCTGAAAGATATACACCTCTCAGTGTATACTGTATTTCCTATTCGCTACCCTTTATCAGTTGTATTCCAGTTGTATTACGTCTCCTTACAATGACGCCTCGTGCAACGTACATCGTCATCCTGAGGTAGCAAGCATTTTGCTCAGTGTTTGAAGGTTCAACTCACAGCTGAACGAACTGGGGTTCCTTTTCAGGCTGAGTGATTATTATTATTATTATAATCAAAAAGAAGCGCTAAGCCACAAGGACTATATAGCTCAGGCTGAGTGTGGAGACGTATCGTTAGATCTTATTACAGCTGCTGCCTAAAAGATTCTACTGATTATAGGAATCAGTAGAATCTTTTAGATAGTCTTTTGGCTTTGAAAAATCGAAGTCTGTAAATAAAAGGCCGACACCAGAAACAAGAGTTCGGGCTGAAGTCCGAGTTGGTGTTCCCAAGACACGATCAAGATTCATAGTTGGTTCATACCTGGAATATACCTGGAGAGGGTTTCGGGGGTCAACGCCCCCGTGGCGCGGTCTGTGACCAGGCCTCACGGTCTATCAGGGCCTGATCAACCAGGCTGTTGCTGCTAGCCGCACGCAAACTGACGTATGAACCACAGCCCGGCTGATCAGGTACTGACTTTAGGTGCCTGTAAAGCCTCTTCTTGAAAGCAGCCAGGGGTCGATTGGTAATTTTCCTTATATGTGCTGGGAGGAAGTTGAACAGTCTTTGGCCCCTGACACTTATCGTGTCACTATCCTCGACTAGCATGGAGAAGGTTTCTAAAGATGAGTTTGATCACTCAGACTGTCAGAATGGTGAGTAATAGGAAGCCTTAAAGGGTCCTCGTATACCCGATAGGCATTAAACCTAATAAACCAACCAAACTAAATTACTAATCACCTGTGGTTGACGTCGGGGAGCAGGTGTAGAGAGAGAGAGAGAGAGAGAGAGAGAGAGAGAGAGAGAGAGAGAGAGAGAGAGAGAGAGAGAGAGAGAGAGAGATTCCTTTACGTCTGGTTCTTCAACTGTCTATGAAACAAGAGATTACGTTTACAGTGCACATTTGCCCTGGAAACTAGCTGAGTGTTCCCGTAGAGTGTTGTGTTGAAATGTTCAGCTTCAACAAACGGTACTAGTTCCCCCACTCGATCTCCCGCCACCACCACCACACTGACTCCCCCATCATACTACCCTTAACTCCACCACCACCGCACCTACCCCACCGCACCGACCCCACCGCACCGACCCCACCGCACCGACCCCACCGCACCAACTTATCCTTATACACCTGAACCTGGTCCCTCTCTTCTCGTTCAAGAATGTAACTTAGTTTCTGTGGAGGGAGGATGGAGCCTCCACTACTCTTGAATGGCCCACGCGGTTTTAGCACTTCCCATAAAGAGAACACGGCTTAGGTTCGTAGCTCCTGCATTTTTTTTACACGCTCAGAGTTGTTGATATTGGTTTTAATTTTGCAGAATGTGATAGATCAACAGTGAGCTGCTATCTTGTCATACTCCATCACGCTCAATGGGTTACATATTTCTTTCTTTCAACACACCGGCCGTATCCCACCGAGGCAGGGTGGCCCAAAAGGAAAAACAAAAGTTTCTCCTTTTACATTTAGTAATATATACAGGAGAAGGGGTTATTAGCCCCTTGCTCCCGGCATTTTAGTTGCCTCTTACAACACACATGGCTTACGGAGGAAGAATTCTGTTCCACTTCCCCATGTAGATAAGAGGAAATAAACAAGAACAAGAACTAGAAAGAAAATAGCAGAAAACCCAGAGGGGTGTGTATATATACGCTTGTACATGTATGTGTAGTGTGACCTAAGTGTAAGTAGAAGTAGCAAGATGTACCTGTAATCTTGCATGTTCATGAGACAGAAAAAAGGACACCAGCAATCCTACCATCATGTAAAACAATTACAGGCTTTCGTTTTACACTCACTTGGCAGGACGGTAGTACCTCCCTGGGTGGTTGCTGTCTACCAACCTAGTACCTACATGGGTTACATATATGGTGTTGAAATGTGTCACCCTGACTTGGGAGACTTCAGTAGTGTCAGCCTGAGCTGGGAGACATCAGTAGTGTCAGCCTGAACTGGGAGACTTCAGTAGTGTCAGCCTGAACTGGGAGACTTCAGTAGTGTCAGCCTGAACTGGGAACTTCAGTAGTGTCAGCCTGAACTGGAGACTTCAGTAGTGTCAGCCTGAACTGGGAGACTTCAGTAGTGTCAGCCTGAACTGGGAGACTTCAGTAGTGTCAGCCTGAACTGGGAGACTTCAGTAGTGTCAGCCTGAACTGGGAGACTTCAGTAGTGTCAGCCTGAACTGGGAGACTTCAGTAGTGTCAGCCTGAGCTGGGAGACTTCAGTAGTGTCAGCCTGAGCTGGGAGACTTCAGTAGTGTCAGCCTGAACTGGGAGACTTCAGTAGTGTCAGCCTGAACTGGGAGACTTCAGTAGTGTCAGCCTGAACTGGGAGACTTCAGTAGTGTCAGCCTGAACTGGGAGACTTCAGTAGTGTCAGCCTGAGCTGGGAGACTTCAGTAGTATCAGCCTGAGCTGGGAGACTTCAGTAGTGTCAGCCTGAACTGGGAGACTTCAGTAGTGTCAGTCTGAACTGGGAGACTTCAGTAGTGTCAGCATGAACTGGGAGACTTCAGTAGTGTCAGCCTGAACTGGGAGACTTCAGTAGTGTCAGCCTGAACTGGGAGACCTCAGTAGTGTCAGCCTGAACTGGGAGACTTCAGTAGTGTCAGCCTGAGCTGGGAGACTTCAGTAGTGTCAGCCTGAACTGGGAGACTTCAGTAGTGTCAGCATGAACTGGGAGACTTCAGTAGTGTCAGCCTGAACTGGGAGACTTCAGTAGTGTCAGCCTGAGCTGGGAGACTTCAGTAGTGTCAGCCTGAACTGGGAGACTTCAGTAGTGTCAGCCTGAACTGGGAGACTTCAGTAGTGTCAGCCTGAACTGGGAGACTTCAGTAGTGTCAGCCTGAGCTGGGAGACTTCAGTAGTGTCAGCCTGAGCTGGGAGACTTCAGTAAGTGTCAGCCTGAACTGGGAGACTTCAGTAGTGTCAGCCTGAGCTGGGAGACTTCAGTAGTGTCAGCCTGAGCTGGGAGACTTCAGTAGTTGTCAGCCTGAACTGGGAGACATCAGTAGTGTCAGCCTGAACTGGGAGACTTCAGTAGTGTCAGCCTGAACTGGGAGACTTCAGTAGTGTCAGCATGAACTGGGAGACTTCAGTAGTGTCAGCATGAACTGGGAGACTTCAGTAGAGCAATGAGGATATCGTCAAGCATTCCATTAAAGGCTGATCATCTACAGCGGTTTCAGAAAGTCTGCTTCCAGCATATATACGCTGAGAGAAATACATCCCTATTGTCTAGTCTAGCAGATGAATGCCAACCAGGAGGAAGCAAGCAGCCAGGGAAATGGCACGGCTGGCAATACTAGGAGAGGCAAGTGTCGGTCATGCTTACAGCTTCGTTGTCTCAACTCTAATGGTTTCCTCCGCAAACACGGTAGTTGCCCTGGTTCAGGATGTCCTCATGTGGAAAGTGATGATCCAGAGCCACCTCAGGCACCTGAAACCCACTCCAACAGATTTCATCTCATCAGACAATCTCTTGGAAGCAATTAAAGCAACAGGTACGAGGACACTCACACATATTCCCAAAGCAGCCCGTCCACACGCAGCTGAGAAACTTACAGACCTCCTGAAAAAAGTAAACGATGGTTCCACTATCTTAAATGCTCCACCAACCATCAAGGCATGGCACAACTTGCTACTTTTGGCAATGTCTGCTTAGCTGTACCGGAAAGAAGGGGAAAGAGGCTACCCTCAATGATAATTAAATCCTTAAGAGATTTTCCTAGAGTTGATAACCTCATTCGCCTTCCCCGTCAACACAAAAAAGGGAGAGGCAGAACCCCCACTCACTCTACTGACAGTGAAAAAGTCAGAGTCCAGGTGAGCAAGAAAATTGAAGAGGCAACACAAGTGGGGGCAATCAGAATTATTACCAGTGGAGATACAGTTGCTCCCAGGGATGCTGACACGGCTGAAGCACTTAGAGGAAAGCACCCTGCCAGGGAAACCAGTGGCACCAACAGTTCCAACACCTCTGTCCCCACTATGGAACCATTGATTGTGGAAGACTCAGACAATTTACAAAGCAATAATGTCGTTCCCATCTGGCTCTGCTAGGGGTTACACTGAATAAGGCCACAGCATTTTAAAAGGGAAAAGGTTAATCCAGTTATTGGGAAATTGCAGAGACACTGCTTTCAGAGATCACAAGGTTCGTCAACAATTCCTTGGCTGGTTTGATTCCTGATGAAATTAGACCTTTCTTTTTGGTGCAACACTTTGTGCACTTAAAAAAAGAAGATGGAGGAATTCGGCCAATTGCAGTAGGCAACACGTTACACCGCCTCGTATCCAAAGCTGCTGTCCGAAGTATTCGTACACAGGCAGCCATGATGCTTCAACCAAACCAGCTTGGCTTTGGGGTCTGTCAAGGAAGTGAAGCAGCGGTTCATGCAACAAGGGCGTATATCAACAACCTGCCTGAGGACAATGCAGTGGTAAAATTAGATTTCAAGAATGCGTTCAATCTCCTGAAAAGAGACGTGGTATTAGCAGCAGTACAAGAACATTTCCCTGGTCTCTTCCCTTTTGTTT